CTGGCCCGCACAGGTTTCAAAGCCTGCGAGGAGTCGCAGACGAGATTCAGATGAATAGTTTATATGGTAATCATTTTATCGAGCGACTCGAGAATGCTCAACGAATCGAAACTGTAGTGTATGCGACGTGCGCGCAAAAAGATACTGATCAGTTTGCGCTGCGCATCTGCACCGCCGCATCCGCTTTTCTAGGTTCGTCCGCGCGGGAGGAGTCGAGAATGCGCCCTCTTTTCCCCTGAAGTCGGTCACAACGTAGAAACCAAAAGCAAATCTACAGTGCCTATTCTAAGCATCGGGCTACCTTTTCACGGTATCTGCCACAATAATACCGAGATTAGAGGCACGTCATGGCAGTTCCTTGAATAGATGCTCGGGTTCATCGGCGAGGAACCACAATGGATGGGTCCTGGGCAATGAGTCCCCTCCCCTCAGGGCAAGCCATCCAACCAGCCCTGGCTCAATTTCAGCATCAGCCATGTTTCCCCATCCCTAACTTCTTGCCCAGACGCTGTAATTACAGGTTGTCGCACGCTGGCCAGGGCCGTCTTTAGTGGTCTGCTGGCCTAATTTCCAGGCCTCCTTCGGGAGTTCTTAACGCTTAACCCCCCTAAACGGAGTGTGCTCGTGTTAGTGAGCCCAGCTCCATTCAAATTCAACAACCTCTCTTCTCTCGCCTGGTCTGGCTCCTCTTTTCCTCATGCACATCCTCTTGCCGACTCTTCAACGCCGCCACAACCATCCCAACACGGATCAAGACCTCTCTGGTAAGTCCCATCGCCTGTGTTATTATGCGCGATCCCCATCGAGACCCAATCTCGAGGCCCCGATTCTCTCCTCTTCCATCCTGAGTCCCCAAGTTCATGTCCTCTCTGCTTCATCCGTTGTCCCCGTCCCAAGAAGCGCCAGACTGCCCCGACCCTCAAGCTACCCATCTTCTACTCGAGGGGCCCTCTTCATCATAACTTGGGAGATCCTCAGGCCATCCAGCCCTTCCTCAGTTGCTAACAGGCTTCGAACAAAAACAGCATATCGATCTTTCTACCGTCGCTGTCGTTCTAACGAAAACCCTCCACCGTTCATCGTCGTCATACGCACCGCAAGTCCAAAGCCCTGAGACCACACAGACACACACAAGACTCGGCGCTTACCGCCTACCGCGTGGATGTTGATTATCCCTTGATTCTTTATCTACATTTTGACATCTCTTTTTACACATCTTGTCTTGTCTGCTTTTCTGGTCCTTGACCGTCGCATATAGTATTGAGCGTACTGTTGAGCGATCTTGTCGTGAACAGGGCCGGGCCCAGTCTATCCCAGGCAAAGCCCGCAAACACCACTTTGAGACCCATCAACCCAACTACACCCATCAATTCTCCAACGTCCATCTCTATCGACACAATAAACACCCTCTCAGCTTCACAATGGCCTCAATGTCGCCTCTCAACACTGCTATCGTTCCTTCTGGAGCATCCTCAAATGGCGGCAGTTTGTCACCTCAACAGACATCAACGCCCAAGAACGTCGCATTTGAGCTATTGTTTCTCGAATCCCCCCATTGCCGTGCGCGCTTGCCAATGCGAGTGCAAATATACCCCCACGACACAACGGACTCTATTGTCACTACCGTGAAGAACTTTTATGGTTTGTACTCGGGTCCGACCGGGTCAAAGGGAGTCAGTTTCGAAGATGATCTTGGGAACACTCTTATTGCCCGGTATGAGAACTTTCGAAATAATATGGTAGTATACGTCAGGGTTATAGAGGAACCTCCGGCGAATGCAACTGCGTATTCTCCTCACCCTTACCATAACTCATCCGCTGCCACCCACCCTTACTACAGCGACAATGGCTATACTGCCACTCAGGCTCAGCGCTTTCCCCAAGAGTTGTCCAGGCCCAGCTCTCGGACATCACGGAGACGAAGCCCGTCCCCCAACACTGCTCGTGGCCGAAGAAGTGCTTCTGCCAGCACAAATGGGAAGAAGGGTCGTTCTCGCTCCTCCAAGACCCGAGCTTCTGCCTCTCGGAGTCATACCGAACTTTACAGCGATAGTATAAACGGCTATAGCAGCAATGATGAGCATGACTCGACATCTGGAAAGAACAAGGACCAACTACCTACTACTGATATCAGTGTCGAGAACATTGTTGAAGGTGGCCGTCGTAAGAGGGCCAAGTTCGAAAGCTCGGTAAGTGGAGACCGCCATTTTGACAAGGCGGGCTCAGAGAGACTGACAACGTCGGGCTACAGGAACTTCCATTGTTCGCACCGCCCCAGATGCCTGCGGCGACATCGAATCCTTCAGTATCTCCTGCTCGCCGAGCTGAGCCTCATCGGCCCGCAATGCCATTCGTGCAGCCTCATCAAAATCCCTTCATAAACCCTCGCCCTATGCAGTCGCCCCAAGGTTATTCACATGGCATCACGCATCCCAATCTCTACTCAACCCCGAGACCCGATCGCTGCAACCGAAACAGTGGCGGATATACCAGTAGCGCCATGGGAATCCTTCCTACTCCCGACCCAACTATTGGCAGTTGTGTATCTGAAGAGGACAAGGACGTTGCTATCCAGCTGATGCGACTTGGCGACATGTCCAACATCTCCCACGGCCGAACCTCTGCTTCTACCCTCGATGATACATTTAGCGGCAGAGCCGATGCTGCTTCCTCTACTGGCGCTACTAGTGATGGCGAAAGCGAGAGTGAGACCGAATTGCCTCCTGCCCGACGCCAGAAGCTAGATATTTCCAGCACTGTTGGCAATGTCTATCAGACTACCGAGTCACACTTCATGCCACCCCCTGAAAGCGCCGAAGTTAGTGGAGACGATGCCGACTATGAGGATGGCGCTGACGAGTCTCTGCTCTCTACTGGCAAGAGCAAGCCTGGCAAGACTCAGAAAGCCTCTGCTAAACCTAAGGCATCTGCCTCTGTTTCTAAAGCAACATCGGCCAAGGCCTCCAAGACCGCCCGTCCCTCTAATGGCGTCAAGGGAAAGAAGCTGCCCCCTGTCCCAAGTGGCCCAATGTCCCCAGCTTCTATGCCCCCTTCGCGAAAGCAATCCATTGCGTCTACCGGACAGACTCCACTTGCGCCTGGCGAGGATGACCAGCCTGACCTTTCCACCAAACCTCGCTGCCAACGCTGCAGAAAGAGCAAGAAGGGCTGTGATCGCCAAAGGCCTTGCGGACGCTGCCGTGATGCTGGCCTGTCGGCAGACCAGTGCATTAGTGAGGATGAGGGCAACGGCCGAAAGGGTCGATACGGTCGTCACATGGGAGTGCCCATCAAGAAGGATGAGGTCACCGCCGTTGCCCAGCCTGCACTATTACCCGCTGCGCCCATCGCGGCTGCTGCCATGACAATAGATAAGTCCAAGAAGCGCAAGCGATAAGCGCATGGGTTCAATCACACTGCCTGAAAGTTTTCAATATTGTCGTATATACTGGTCTTTGAGCTTTGACACAGCAGTTTTACTGGCGTTGTTGTCGGCTTACTTGTCATCTTTGTCGATGTGGCATGAATGACTTGTACAAATCTCCCAATGGGTCCCAACGGTTTACCAACAAATGGGCCATGCACTCAAATGTTTTCTTTTTATGTTTTCCCTGGTTCTTCTAGCTTGCAGGCGAGAGAGCAGCACTCATGATGATACTCAGGAGGATGTAATAACGACGGCCGTTCGGCCATTACACTCCTTATACGGCGTTTTGAGGCAAGATGTGGGAGTTTCGAGTGTCTTTTTTAACAAAAAATCTTTTTCCTCCGATTCAACATTATTTGGGTTGCCTCGAGGCTCGACGAGGCTGACGGTCAACCGCTTCTGAACCACGATGGACTTGTGGGCGGCAGTTCCATATGGCAACCGCTCAAAAAAGGTGTGATACGGTGGGGGAGCAAGGGGCATGGTGCTTGGAAAATCTCCCAAGGTTTAGAAGAAAGGACAGGAACGGTATACGGAAGGTTTATCGTGTGCGTGCTTGAGGCGCATTCTGATTGAGATGCATGACTAAAAAGGGATGCTGTCTGGATGCCACACCGGCCGCGCAAAGGAACGGGTTAATGTGGCAAAAGGCCAAATGTTTCCGATATGTTATTCTGTTTTCTAGCGACTTTTCTATATCTTGTTGTACGCAACTAACTTCATGCAACATAACATGCCTGAGATTAATCAGGTTCATCAGAGCGCGTGAATGTGAAAGTGTGCGACACGAGCTACCGCAATGCGCTGCTAATATAACGTCTTCAAAATGATAGGTTATGCATTCTGGTATTGCGCGACCGCTTTACCAATGTTTTGGGGCATATTTCAATATTGATTGTTGATATTGACCAAGGCTTGTGTTTCGAGGCCGTTTCGCGACAGCGCAAGCCCGAAACTTCGGCATTGTTTGCCGAAACGCCCCGAAACGGTCAATTGCAACATTTAGAGTGAGACTTCTACATCACGTCTCACAGAACTACACATCCACCTCCAACTTTTTTTTCCATCAAGTATGTTCCGACTTAATATATCACAATATTCTGTGCAGAGATATTGTGGTCTATTCTGCACCCCTACCGCAAATCGGCTGCCACCCCACCATCACAACCTGAACTAGCGTGCCGTTCCCGCTCCACCTTTTGCCGATGCGGAGACGATCTACAAGCCGATTGGCCGTTGGGTGGGATCTGGTCTCACGTGACAGCCTTACATCATATTTTTCTTTACCGCCATTGCTGTTTTTACCCCTCCATCCTTAGCGCGGGGTAATTTCTTGTCGTGTTTTTTTGTTTCTGTTTGACTGACTAGGGCATTGATTGATGTTAGTTGACAGAATAAAATTATCAAGCTTCAAGTTGCTCAATATTGTGTTCAACTCAAGCACCGGTATATGCTTAAATTTGAGATGCGGGCTGTGCCGTTTCAGAGCAATAAGTTTATTGTGATTATCTCAAAGTCAAAGTCTAAGTTTATGCTATCATGATGTTTCAAACATTCCTCCAGGACAACAGCAATGGCTTGTTTGGTGAAGGGCGCAAACTCTTCTTTACCCATCGATTATCAATTGTTGTTGTTTATCCTGACCCTTGGCGCCGGCTCCGCGCGGCCGCGACCACCCGTGACTTCTTCGGAGACGTTTCATTGGCCCCACGCGTCAGACCAACGGACTTCCGACTCCGGAAATAAACAATGCCGGCCATCGGAGCGGGGTCGGTGGGGATCGGTTCGTCGGCGGTTAGTGGGGCGACCGGCTGAGGTTACCCTGAACATGAAATAACGGCAATACTCTTCGCTTGTTTTGGTTCAAATATGGTGGGATTTTCAAGAGGACCATTGGCTAATACTGAAAATTATATTCATTTGGTAAGATTTTACTTCAGAGCTTGACTTCTATTTGGATTGTTGACTTTAACTAAGTTTATCATTCTTTTAGTGAAGGCCGGTCTGTTGCAAGCCTACGTCAACTAAATGGCCTCGTGATGGATAGGAAGTAATATACCTACCAGTATGTCGTGCTACTCGTAGATCCAGCTCTGTTTAACCCGGACACCAGTGTAATTGAAGGGCGCGGCTGGCACCCAGAAGCGTAACCCCATGATTCACCATAGGTCAGCAAATGATGTTGACTGAAATTGAGAGCAACGACTATAGTAACCCGATCTGGGGTTTGTGGGGCGCGATATCGGCAAGCAACCATGGGATTGCGCCCTTCGAGAAAAATCTTTGATTCAATGATTGGGGAATCGACTCTGATCGGGATGGGGCAGAGATCAGGGCGTATATAGTCGTCAGCCGCCCCAAGTTGAATAGCCCCGAAACTATGCCCGGCAACCTCAAATTCCAATACCTGCTGGCCAGTCCATCTTCTAGCATATCAATGGAAGACATCTTAATGCCATACACTTTATCACATCAACAATGTTTGGCAGGGATGTAGAGAAGACGCCAACTCGGAGGCAGCCGTCACCATGCCCTTCTGAAGGCAATACCGAGGACCCTCAGAACCTCCATCACACGATTTCAAACACAAACGCCCCCCCTCCAGTCTTTGATCCTGAAAACTTCGACCCACCAGATGGAGGCTTCACAGCCTGGTCCCAAGTTCTTGCTGGTGTCTTCATCAATTGCTTGGCATGGGGCTATCCCGCCTCATTTGGTGTATATCAGCTTCATTATGAAGAATCGCTTGGATTGCCTTCGTCTCAAATCTCGTGGATCGGTTCCTGCCAGACCTTCCTGACGTTCGCGTTCTGTGGTCCAGCCGGCCGTCTTGCCGATGCTGGATATACCAGAGAGACTGTCGCCTTCGGAAGCTTCCTGGCTATCTTGGGAACGTTCATGACCAGTCTGTGTAAAGAGTATTGGCAAATCTTCTTGTCCCAGGGCGTCTGCACAGGTATCGGCTTAGCCTTGCTATTCATGCCTGCTGTGACTGTTGTTGGTTCGTATTTCAAAGCCAAGAAGGCATTTGCTTTGGCGCTGGCTGCTACGGGCACTGGGCTGGGTTCCATCATTTTCCCTGCCACTCTCCAATATCTCATTCCACAAATCGGTTTCCCATGGGCCGTCCGCTGTGCTGGCTTTGTCGCTCTCGTCTTGATAGTTGCCGCAAATCTCATACTAAAGCCGTACCTCGCCCCCAGAAAATCAGGGCCCTTGATAGAATGGGAAGCCTTCAGGGAACTCCCCTATTTATTGTTCGTGCTTGGCGCGTTTCTGAACTTTTATGCATTATACTTTGGTTTCTTTTATGTAAGTGCCTCCTTCGAAGACAAGCCGTAATGCGATGTTGTTGCTAACAGTAAACAGATCAATGTTTATGCTCGCAACGTAATTGGGTTTACAGCAGTTGAGGCTGTCAGCTTGCTACTGATTGTGAACGCAATGAGTATTCCTGCACGGCCTATAATGGGATACCTGGCAGACAATGTTCTGGGACCGATAAACGCCTTCCTTATTGGCATGACTGCACTCAGCGTCATGGTGTACTGCTGGATTGGCGTCAAGTCCGTCGCTGGCATGTACGCTTTCTGCGTCTTCTTTGGATTCGTGAACGGCGCGTGTCAGGGAACATTTGTTGGTGCTAATGCGAGCTTGACTAAAGGTAAGAGATCCGCCAACGTTTGCCTTGCTGTTTGTTCTCTTGTACATGACTGATCAGGCAATAAAGATCCCCGTAAGATGGGTACTCGCTTCGGTATGGTACAGACTATTTCTGCATTTGCCAGTTTGGCCGGACCACCGACTGCTGGTGCCATTCTGGATAGATCGAATGGCAACTTTGTATATGCACAGATTTGGGGTGGTACTGTGTTTTTGTTTGGTGCTCTCATGATTGCTTCATCCAGAGTTGCGTCAACCGGATTTGTTCTGATGAAAAAGAAATAAGAGGAAAAAAGATTTGGCATGTACACGAATACAACGATTCGGTACTTATGATTGAATAAGGAGGCGTAGGCTCTCAAGTAAGGCAACAAGTAAATGGTAATGTTTAAAGTAAATATAATATATCCGAGGTCTTTTTATATCCTGTTTAAGTGATGGAGAGTCGTGATGATTAGGCGAGCTATCTGGCTCCCGTCTTGCCATACAAAATCGTGCTCGCCCCTAAGGTGCTTATTAACTTCAACTTTGAGTCCCTGCTCTGTTAGAAGAGATGCCATGGTATCAATTTCCGGCTCATCAATAAGTGTATCCTCAGCAGACCATGCAAGCATTGTTAATTTCCCATTTGCCCAGTTGTCCCTGAAGCTTGATCCAAACCGAACTGGAGAGGCTTTCTCCCAGGCAGACTTATTGTCGCCAAATGCGGCACCGATAAAGCCCGCATACCCGCCGTTGTGCCTGTCGTTGAGCCCAACAAGATCGAATATACCTGATACTCCAACAATGGCAATGGGCAAGGGTCCCTTGGGGTGAGAGGCGAGAATTTCCCCACTCATGAGAAGTTGGAACGCGAGTGTTGCACCCGCAGAGTGGCCGACCAGGATGTAGTTGTTTGACAACTCGTACTTGCCTTGTAGATAGTTCAAGGCTGACCAGATATCTTCTAAATGATCTGGGTGTTTTACGGTGGCAGACTCTTGGGGGAAGTCTGGATGAGGGGATAGCCGATAGTCGATACTGACAAAGCCAGCAATATCCAGTATCGCGACTGCACCCGAGATGACAATGCGCTTGATAGACTCGGTGAAATCGTTCTCATTGTTACGAGGATCACGCCAGGCACCTCCATGGATGAAGCTGAAAGCTGTTAGTGAAACCGGAGAAATAGCAGATCGATGGGGTATCCTTACACCACCCAATAACCAGTTTTTTGGGCTGGGCGATCAGCAAACCGCCATACGCCTAGTTTCTGACGGTTATGTTTCCCGTATTGGTGAGACGCGTAAGTGAGCCCCAGGGATTTGTCTTCGGCAATATCGGCCATCTTGTTTCGCTTTATGGGAGACTATCGACGCTATGACCCGAAAGGAAATGCTGACCACAGGGTTGTTCGCGGAGGTCAGTAGAGGATTGGGTATTAGATGCGAGAAACCCAGATCGGAGGCGTTAGTTCTTTTGGCCGTTTTTTATAGCACGAGCTTCTTTAAATTGGGGGCGGATGTTGTTCCCAGTTCTAGACATCGGCACTCGTTAGACCAAGATGAGGGGTCTTGGGATGTCGGAACTTTCGAACCCCGGGATCGGCCAATCGGATGAAGATTCCAACTTATCGGGTTGGGCACTTATATATCTGGCGTTCCAATAAGATCTGCAGAATTGAACAAGTCACTTTCTGGCACGATCCGAAAAAGGGACTTGGTTGAGAGAATCTGGAACGCAAATGTGAACTAGATTTCATTAGTATAGAGCAAAGTCTACTAATTCAGGATCTCATAATAGGGGTAATACTTGGACATTTACGAAAACAGAAGGAGCTCTCAGGTCACCTTGCACAACATATATTTATGTAGCAATTGCAGTTGGCAGGTGCATTGCTTTTTGCGGAACGGGACGGGAAGAAGCACGTTTAAAGAGACATAGCGACACGGAACCACGGATGAACGCCTTCCGATGTAACCGTCTTGCCGTCGGTACTGGCTTTATCTGCCTTAGACATAATCATCGTGTTCCACTTCAACCTATAAATCTTCTGTCGCTGAATCCCAGGCCTGAGATGATTAGACGAGTAGCCGCAATAAGCTGCCATGCCAGGATCGCACACAAATCGGAATCATCGGGAGATAAACCGCTAGCGAAGCTGATAACCGACAGGCATCTTTGGCCTTTTGCTTTGACATGGTCACACCAAAAACCCGTCAAGACTGAAGATGTTCAGGGGCATGGGTTCGCACTACAGGGGCTGCACGTGTCTGGTTCGGGAAACTGACCATGCTGTGCCTGTGAGATGGATCACGGACGGAAATACCTTGACGCACCCAGCATATTGCTCTCGAATCACCACTGTTTCACTCCCACTATGCCAACCCTTCGCGTGTCGCCTACTGATATTCATGAACTTCATGCTACATAGTTACGTATCGACAAGGGACTCACAGGCTTCAGCTGATAGGCATGCTGGAAGCGAGGTGGACCAATGATCGCCAGCCCCCCTGTGCTTCAACGTCTCCCCACTTCCCGATGGTGACCTCAAAAGTCCTATTCAAAAGCGACTGATGCATATATTAGCGGACTCAGCCCAGAGGAAATTAAGAAGAGACGCTGTACTTCAGTGACAGGCCTCATGGGTGGCTTACTGTGAGTTGTAATGAGCGATTCTTTGCAGACAAGGGTGTAGTCTTTGGTTGCCCCAAATATCATGTTTTAACAGGGATTTGGACCTAGCCTAGCTAGCCTAGGCTTTCCTGCGAGCTGATACTGAAACGATGGCTGAACCGAAATCGTAGTTCCGCAGTGAAGTGCGGATCATCAAAATGTCCTACCATACCATCGGGTTCGCACTATCAAGAGAGCATCTTGGAAGAGTCTAGCAACCGACTTTTATCGTGGAGAAGACCGAATGTCTTTCTATTCTCACTATCTTTGATCAAAGTTAAGCCTCAACTAAATTGGTTAACAGGGAGAGTTGAGACTCCACAACCTGAGCCATTTGCTTGTCGTATGATTGCGCATGCTGGCATGTCTCTGTCCACCTCCTTGCTTGGGGCCGTTCATGATGTGCATTTGATTTGGTCAAGCTACGAAAAACTCTATTAAGTCCTAACTGTAAGTATTCCCAACCCCCGATGTTTGGCGTTCAACTAAGAAAAGATAGTTGCCGCTGGCTTCGGCACGCTAAACAGGGTACTTGGTTCAAACAATACTCCTGTTTTCTTCTCAAACCTAACCATCTCCAACAACTGCGCTACGTACCGCCTTGGTTACACAAGGTTTGCTTCATGGTATGCGAATCTTGACTGTCATCAGTACAAACTTGCTCAATCTGATGTTGATGTTTGTCATGCGCGGACTGACGCCATCGCCTCAACAAACAACCTGATCTGACGATGCCTCACCAGCCCTGCCTGCAATCAGGCTGGCCCAAACAGAACTTTGACAGATGCACCGTTCCCTTCATGGCCCGTTGCAGGATTTCCATGGGCTCGCGGATGCAACATCGCCTCCCGCTAGCTAGTGGCTTGAAGAATTCGGCTAGAAACATGCCTCAAAATGGTCTTCAAGACGGCGAGATGCAAGGGTGCTCGAAGACATCAGCTTCACACCCTCTCTCTCTCTCTTCTCGGTCAATGGCAGGTCTGGTACCTTGCATCCGGCGTATCACACCCTTGCTCTACACAAATCAACTTCAATTTGACACCCCCCCCATCGCCAGCTATGAGTTGGAGACCCTTGCCCTGCATTTGATCAGATCCGCCGGGTCGGTTGGTGCAATCCTAGCATATGTGATTCACTCGCAGCTGTGAGATATATCTCACAGTGAGCCCACCCCCTTGCGTCCCTCTCATTAATTCTGTTTTGTGAATCTACATCATTTTTTCCATCTTTGAGCTATTTATTTTGATCCTCCCACGACTTTTGAGGAGTGGGCCATGCTCGAGCTCGAAAAGTTGTTCGTGACGCTGCAGCGCCATGGCCACCAATAAAGATATCGAAATTCATGAAGAGAACGGGTCTGCTTTGGTCGCGACAGCCATCACTCTCTTGACACTAAGCTGGTTCTCTGTCGGGCTACGCACATATACAAGGGCTGTCTTGATGAAAAGTTTGCAGCTCGATGACTGGCTTATGCTCGTTGCCCAGGTAAATTCCTCGTCATATTACATAGGACAACTCTCACCAAGAGTTAGATCATCTTCACGATATCATGTGCATTCATCCTTGAAGGTGTCCAGAAGGGAATCGGAAAGCACAATGACGCCATCAAAGACGATGAGGCCAAAGTTCAAGCCCTTATGGTAGGCATCCTCTTCTCCCTCGACACCCATTCTTGGTCAGATATTTACTCCATTATAGTGGCAGGCTTTGGCAACAGCGACCTATATTTTGGACATGATGTTCATAAAACTCAGCATTGGTGTCTTCTTGCTCCGTTTATGTGTCAAACGGGTCTACGTCTGGATTATCCGGATCAGTCTAGCTATTATCAGCATCTGGAGTGTAGTTCTCTTTTTCTGGAACCTATTCCAGTGCAAACCAGTCGAAATGCAGTGGGACTTCAGGATAAAAGACGGTACTTGTGTGAGTGCAGACCAGATCGTCTCAGCGGCCTATGCCATAAGTGTTATGACAGTCGTTTCTGACTGGCTCTATGTAAGTGGAACACTGTCTCATCTGCTAAGCTGCTGCACAATACTGAATGCTCGACAGGCCCTTCTACCAATCCCAATGCTGTGGTCAGTTAAAATGACCAAGCAAGCAAAAACAACTGTTATTGCAATTTTGGGGCTAGGCATATTGTGAGTTGGCTCTCCTCGTTGTTCAGAACCTCGCCTAATATACCATCAAGTGCCAGTGTCGCGACCCTTGTACGCCTACGATTCCTTGCGGATCTTACTGATACGGAAGACATTCTATGTGAGTAGCGTCCGGATATGTAGTATTTTCCTAACTGACATCTTCGAGTTGCTGGAACCGATGCCATGGTTTGGACACTGATAGAACCAGGTGTCGCTATTGTTGCATCAAGTCTAGCTACCATCCGACCACTTCTTCGTGCTATGAGGATCAGAGGCTTCGAATCGACCGAAAATACTTATGGCACAGGCCACTCTGCTGCTGTCAGATCAAACGCAAACCGTTCCAAAACCGGAATCTTGATTATGCCAGGCTTTGGCCCTGAAGATGTCTCACTGACCAATATGGTGTCACAAAACAACACGAACTCCCTATCACACCCAAACGACATCGAAATCTTGCCTCCTCGACACGTGGGCGACGGCCCTACCTCACCTGGTCAAGCGAGCATCGTTAAAAGCGAGATCCTGGTGATACAAGGCAATAGCTCGCCCCCGTCGTCCTGGCAAAATCGAAACGATCGCTCTGCTTCTAGCTCTTTCGACCAAATCCACGACCTGGAGGCATACAGCCAAGAACTTGAACGCGATGATATGAGGGGCAGAGGCAGCTGAATGGAATTATGATATGATACCCAAAGGAGATGAGAGCGCCCGATATATGACTCTTTCTTTCTTTTTCTGTTGCAACAACGATATCTTATAGGGGACTTTTTGTACTTGATTTCATTCGGTAAAGAAAGCAACAGGCGTCAGGATCAGGATTGGGCTGGAACATACAGGAAGCTAAATCAATAAGTTTGCCACAGTGGGTTTGGCCTCTAAAAGGAGAGGCAGCAGGTGTTTAGTAAAAGGCCACGAGTCAGCAGAGGCCTGATAGATGGCGCATTGAATAAGGTTCAGATGTTTTGTTAGCCTCTAATGTGTTTATGATAATGAAGCATTTTTCAACACCCTCTTTAACTTTCTTGACTCATTTATCATCAACACTGATACCAATGGTTCACGTGCTTGAAAATGCTTAACAGACGGTGCATACTTGATAGGCATGACACACTCTACAATCATGAAATGCTTGATGGTGTAGTTTGGGTATCTTTGTTTATTCTTCACCGAGCGACTCTCGCTAGGTTATGGTCTTCAAGTGTATCTGTGGCTTATCTTCAGGGTTAACATGATGCTCATACATCGGCACATGGCTGTGGGATGGTCCTTATTCAATCCTTAGGTCCTCGGATGAGACCTCCCAATCTTCCTCATCATCCCACTTTGGTGCAAGTACAAAACGACCCATAATCTTGCCCATTCCGATACTCTCTCCACCAATAACCCCCGGACGAGGTTTCTCGTCATTCTCTTCAATGATAACGGCCGTTGTTAAGAAATTCATCCCCGTGGCAGGGTTCAGTTCCATAGTAGTGCCGCCCCAGTCCAGTTCTACACGGCCTGATTTGCGTACTTTCAGTTGGCCTACCATACCACCCGTTGATAGCAGGCTGGACATGAAACCAGCCTTCTGCTCGGGGTCTTCAAAGCCTGGTACATTAAGTCCCGCAGTGTTCTTGTCGGTGGTGAGATCCACGGGCTCTGTGTCAGCGGCGGCTGGTGTTGATTCCAAGACATTATCTTCGCCCTCACCAGGCTCAGGCTTGACTTTGTTAATGGGCCTGGGTTGGGTAATTGGCTTCAGAGGAGGCAACACAGGAGGGAACTGGAATAAGTACATGCGACCATCCTTGTTGCTCGGACCTTCTGTTTTGCCCTCTTCGCCCTCGGATATTTCGACAGCACCCAATTCATTGGCGAGAATCTCCAGATCTGTCTGGATCATGACCTCTTCTGGGTCTTGCTTTGGCTTCTTGGTCTGTGGCGCTGGTGTTTCGGAAGGCTGCTTGTCTTTGTCTCCTGCATCGGCCGTTGCCTCGATATCCAAATCCATGGAGTCGTCGAGTCCAGGCTCCTTTTTAACGACTGGCGTTTTCGTATCAGTCTTCCAGATGCCACCATCTTCTGCGTTCTCGTCCGTTAAGAGAGGCTCGTCTGCGTCGCCATCCACCCAAAGGCTCTCCTCTTCCTTTGAAGGGGTGGGAGGAATAGCTTGAGCATTTTCCGCGGCTTCTAATTCTGCTGTGGTGGCCACTATGACGCCCTCATCCTTATGCTCTCGTCGGTATATGCCCATAGGAAGTACGCTAACGGCGCGGGAATTGAGCGCCTCGATCATAGCCTCGTCTTCGCTATCAAGGTCCTCTTCGGGAGTATGAACATGGAGTTTATCCGCGTTAATTCGGGCCTCGCGAGATCGTGACGCCTGAGCAAAGCCAGGTTTCGAATCCGATTTGAATCCTCTTCCACCACCTCCCCCAAAACCACCACCACCACCTCCTCCTCCACCGCCGAACCAACCACCGCCTCCACGCCCGCCGGAGCCTGTATCCGTTAGAAAGCTGCAATCGAGTCATGGTATCTCGGAGGTAAGGCTTACCTGCTGCACCAGAGGAAAATGGGCCACTGGCTCCCGAAATGACTCGACCAAAACCGCCTCTACCCATGGCATCACCACGGCTCCTTTTACTCCTGAAACGTGAACGCCCTCTCGCCTTGCGCTCATCTGCTGCTCTCTCGCTGGCTTTCTGCTCCTCCTGTCGGGCAAGACTGTCTCGTTCTGCTTCATCTCGGCGAATGTTCTTGGGTCGGAAGCGACCAGCTGCAGGAGCTCTTGTCGCCCGAGTGGTAGCCCCTCCGCGGGTTGAAGTAGTCGCTATACTCTGAGGTACTGGAGTGGCGCTGCCTGGAGTATCTGTAACGGCTGAAGTAGAAGAGCCGCCATCATTTTCACCAGCTGCCCGTGAACTTGCCACGGCCGCACCTCTCCGACTGCCCCGGGCCGCTGCCCTACCACGGTTCATATCGTTTGTATTATGATTATTGCTTATAGGCTGAGAGTCAATGTAGGCGGCGAGTAGTAATTTTCGGTATCCAAGGCTTTAGTCGCAGATGAAGCTTTCAAAAATTTAGCCTGAGTCGCAATGCGAAAGTATAATAGTGGGGTTCGGAATGGTGGGGGACGATGAAATTCTGCCATTTGTGAGACTTCTAGTACTCACCGCCTACTCACCCAACTGTTCTGAGGTTGATAGAATACCTTGGGTAAGGATGTAGTCAAGTTATCGAGGCTACCTAAGATATTAAATAAACAAACTAGGACAAATTAAGTTCTATACAAGATACAGGCAGGGATTCTGCAGATAGGCAAAATGGTCGGTATAAAGAACAGTTACTAACAATGCCTTAATTTAAAGAACATACTGTCTTGCTCCAAGCCTTGGGTTTCCTATTTATCTAAAACATATCACTCCTGTCAGTTCTTTAGAAAGCTTAAGAATTCTAAATTAATTCTATAAGAGAATATTATATAAGATAGTCCTTTACTATTATATATTTTCACTATTTATACTAACTATTACTTTCTTTTTTAAATACTTTTTTAAATTTCAAGGTAAACTAGTCTATCTTTTATAGAGATTATAATAATAATATTCTAAACTTATAATTAATTGTTCCTAAATTTATGCTTAACTATCCTTAGTACTTAGTTTAGGATCTCTTGTCTAAATCACTGAGCCACTCTCGACTGCTTCATGCGTTAACATATCGTTTCCCAATATGGAAATCCTGATTAGCTCCTATTGGCCAGGATCTAGTGGGATGCGGACAGGCCATCACTGCATACAACTTGTATGCAACCAGACGAGGATGTACTGTGTACGTAAGTCAGCCTCGAACTTTTTTTTCTCACTTTGAGTTGGGGTTCTTTCATAAAAATGGTATTGGCCGACGGATGACCGATAGACAGTGTGGTAAGCGTGTTTATCAGTAGAAAGATAGACGATACAATGGAATGAAGCCATCAGTAAAAGGCTGCACATCTTATGTAAACGGTGATGCCTTTCGATTAGTCGGTACCGAGGAGCACGGAATTCATGGTATTATGGTAGTGATGCAGGAAATTGTGTATGATATACAAAGCTGGCGTAAGAGAAATATTTGCGTGGTCATCGATTTGCGCAAGCTTGACCTGAGATCCTACCAGCTGCAGTCTCTTCGTATTGGCTGGAGACAATGGACAGCCCAGTTGCTGTTCAAGCGGTGGTCAAGCTTTGGTAAACCAAGGCGATCCCAAAATGAAAAATACAATTATACACCAGCCACACTACTCCCGCATCTGTAGCAATCAGACAGAGAATGCACCAATGTGCCTTCTGAATCTGGAAACATGGTGTCGTTGATTGATTGTGCATACCCAATCGGCATACTTCTCAAAAAGAGCTGGAAAAAAACACGCCCTCTTCTTCATGTGATGATAGTTAAGGCTTTGTTTCATCGAAGACACATCAGTGCTTTATCACCGAATTCAGAAGCAATGCTCCCTTCCTGAATAATCATTGATCCAATCCATTCTCTTCCGGCTTCAACCGTTTTGGCCCCAAACTTGACAACCACGCACCCTCGAACATTAGCTGCGGACCAAAGGACACCACCTTCTTTCTCCTCTTTGAGTCTCTGTAGTCGCCAACGCTCAAAGTCAGAAACATCTGTGATGCTTCGCGCCATCGCTTCTGGTGAGCGGAAGTCCCGGGCTCCAATGCGAGGAAGTGCAGCGAACTCATTCCGAAAGAATTCTCCCAACGATTTGGTCTTGGATCCTCGCAATATAAGAGTTCCTGATATTGCCATATGCTGCATCATTTCTGGCAGTGTGCGGCCCACGGACTTACTCGCGTCTCTCGATAGGATGATTGAGTCTCGTACCAAGAGTCTATCAGCCGTAGTTGTTTGAGGATCTTGTAGCCATATCTCGTTCCGCCCTGTCCATTTCCTGAAGCTCCAGTTCTCTCCACGAGCCACACGCCCTTGGGTGACCCAATCCAAGAGACAGAGCGACGCTTGGCTTTTGAGCTTGAATATTTGCTTCTGGGCGTATACACTATCCTCAAAAGGCTGGACAGGATCCGGAAGGAGACACATGGAAGCACCATCTTCTATGGTAACGTCCAAGTTTTGAGTTGTGACGACATCGGCTGTAGGCGATTTGAAAATCTTTGTGTGACCTTGGGTAGCGATGCTGAGCTTCGCCTGCGGCTTGACGTGTATTGTCAGATTAACCCCGTCTCCAGCAACAAGCCCCCCTCCATAGGATAATAGGAAAACGAGAGTGCTTGGCTGGCTAGATGAAGGAGCCGGGGATATTAATTTCAAAGGATACTGATAAGTCATGGTCTCAAGACCGCTCGAGCCGGCAGGGAGCAGGCCAACGACGATGCGGCCATCGCCAGGAGAGGAGGATGAGGGAGGAAAAGGCGAGTCCATTTTGGAACCATGTTGCGATGATAGTGAAAGGTAGAAAGCCAAGAATCAATGAAAGTTTGATTGGGCACAGGCAATAGTAAAGACAGACTGCGTCTCCATCTTGACGCACCTTGACTAACAAATAAATACCTTACCTTGGTTGAAACTGAGGCACGAGTCAAAGGTTCTCGACTATTAGATAAGAGATAAGAGATCGTTGGTCGACACAAGTGGCTGTGGCCCCACACCAGCTGGGATCGTGGGGTTATGTCGTAGGTACATCACTCAAGCCTGAGCGTGGCTTGTGAGAGGCAGAAAGGGGAGCTCCAAAGACGCTGCATGAAGTTGGGCTAATTGGCATTTGTAAAAAGCACAAATCTACCGTGATATCATGTAGCTGCGGAAACAAACACACGGATCCAAGCCAGATATATGCTAGAGACAAAGCTGGTCGTAAAGACCTATGTAAGGACTCTCAGGTATTCGTTAAGAAGATTACCTACTACTTCTCCGATGTTCACCCGTGGCAATGAAAACTGGCACCACCCACCCACTTTCCAGAACAGCTTGCGCCGCCGTCATCCCCATCTCCATCCCCATTTGCACTCTACTTACTCCACGCGACATTCGACGCGCCAAGTGGCTAAAAAAACCCATTGTCCCCCTCGCATCGAGGGTTTAACCACCAGACATTGATATTTCAAATGCCGATATCACGACCACCCCCAAGAGACACCATGGACAATAACGCGAGCCCGTCTCCGGATCCTGATGCGACAACGCGTCGCCGATCAGGACGCGTCGTGAGGGCACCCACCAAATTTACTCCTGATACCACAACTCAATCGACAAACCCAAAGCGCAAGCGAGACGATCAGGATGACGAGGAAGAGGACGAAGAGGAAGATGCGGAAAATGAAGCGCCCGACTCAGACGAGGAGATGAGCAACGAACCCGACAATGACAGTGATGAAGACCATCCTGCACCGCGCTCTCGAAAGAAGTCGTCGCAAACAAGTCGCGCAAAGAAGCCTTCAGCCAAGAAGCCCAAGATCAATGGTTCCAAGCCGTTGCGGCCTGCGCGAGTGACCCATGCCGCCAAAAGTCTCCCGAGCAGACCTAAGAAGAGTGTTCGCATTGAAGACGCTGCTGTGAAAGGGCATGGGCTCTACTGTAGGCTAAAATTTCTCTTCCTGCGTGCTTTCCTACATGCTGACACTACAAAGCCCATCTATTCGGATCGGGTGATTCTAGCAAATCGGTGGCAGAAGAATGGCTGGCCAGCTACAAGACAAACGCAGTAGCAGCCACTGCTGATTTGGTGAACTGCGTCCTTCAATGCGCTGGCTGTGATCAGCTCATCACAGAAGACGACGTTTTAGACCTGGACAACGTTGCAGGACGACTGGCAGATCTTCAGAGCATTTACCAAGAGGTATTGCAATTCTCAATCGTGCCTCTAGCCATGCACGTTTTGCTAACATTATCACAGCAACAAATTACCGACTATCCTCTCATCTCCAGAACCAAACATTCACGATCCTTCCGAGACGTACTCATTTCCTTCTTCGAATGCCTTATCGTTGATATGCACCAAGGTCGTCTGATGTACAGAGACGAAACATTCCTTGACAATCTGCATACATGGCTTGCTAGCATGTCCTCATCATCACTCCGACCCTTCCGCCATACCGCAACCACTATATCTTTGGCAGTCCAGAGTGCGCTGGTCACAGTAGCTAACGATCTGGACTACAGACTCAAGAAGAGCACTGAAAAGCGTGACAGGGAACAGACCAACAAAGATCGCAAAGCTTGCGCTGATGCCATTCAGTCATTTTTCGACACTGTTTTTGTGCATCGTTACCGAGATGTCGACCCCAAGATTCGAACTGAGTGTGTGGAAGCACTTGGGAACTGGATCATTTCCCTGCCTGTCATCTTCCTTGAGCCGGGCTACCTCCGGTATCTTGGCTGGATGCTGTCAGATACCAATGCTCCCACTCGCCTCGAGGTCTTAAAGCAGCTTACCAAAGTCTTTCGGAGAGACGCAGGGCAGCTGGGCCATTTTATTGACAGATTTCGCCCGCGATTGGTTGAAATGGCCTGCAAAGATTCCGATGTCGCTGTTCGCGTCGCAGCAATTGGCGTTATTGACGTCCTCCGCGACCAAGATCTCTTAGAAGGTGAAGAGGTGGACGCCATTGGGAAGCTCATATTTGACAATGAACTCAGAATTCGAAAGGCGGTTGTTGGCTTCTTCGTCGCATGCACTAGGGACGCTATCAGTGAAAAGACGAAAGAACTGCGTGATTCTGAAGCTACAGAGGACATACCCCGAGGGAAGAAGGCTTCTGTTGACGCCCCCCGTCTGGAATGGATTGACCTGAAGTGCCTTGCCGAAACCCTTGCCATCTATGACAATCAGATCGAGGAGGAGCATCAAAGTGGTCAGATATTGGGATTGGATGTTGCGGTTGATCTTTTGGAGTCTACTGTTCCAGAGACCAGGATCTCGCTGGCGGCCCAAGTACTGTTCGACAAGGTCAATGCGATCAAG